CTTTTAAGAGTTTTAGACATTATTAAGGCTGAGATGAAAAATTGGAAAGCTTATAGAATTTAATAGAATATATACTAATGCACAGGAATAAATTAAAAGCTCTAGGACACATTGCCCAGAAACATTTATAAACAGACAAGGACAGAAGGAACACCATGATGAGGGTTTAAAGTCAAAGGCGCTTAATACAGAAGACCAAGTACTGTTGTTATTACCTGGTAAAGAAAACAAATTACAGACCAAGTATCAGGGTATCTACACAGTAGAGGGTAGTGGGGTATTATGAAAAGTTAATACCTCATTTTTCTACTGTGGTTCAACCCCTTGGGGACCTAAGAAAGACAAAAACCCCAAGGGTGAAGTGGACCAAAGAATGCCAGTAGACATTTGATAAACAATGCTGTGAGTGGGAAAGCAGTACTGAAAGGGGCAGATTTTTCTAACTCTTCGTTTTACAAATAGATAACTTCTAACATAGGCTTAGGTGTTGGTGCTCATCCAAAGCCATGAAGGGGTGGACTCTCCTGTGATCCACCTTCCAATGAAGCTCTCTCCAAGAGAACAAAAATACAGCACCATTGAAAAAGTCTAAGCACTATATGGGCAATCAATGCTCTGCATGTTTGTTTGTGCAGTTGGGGCTTCACCATAATAACCATGAAATACCCATAGAACTGCCATAAATGAGAAATACCAATTCATGGTTATCCAGATGGTATCTTCTATTATAACCTTATTGTCTCAATATCATACATGGAGTGAGACGGCAGAATGCCATCATTGATTTCCCATTGTTGCATGCCAAGAATTAAATACTTGGAATTTGCATGCGCTTTAGGGATATTAAAGAACCACTCATCAGACTGGCTGAGGGAATTCTGGGAATTGAAGTCCATACATCTTAAGTTTAAAAAACACTGGTTAGTCCAAACCTCTGACCTTCAGTTGTGTGCACTACAAATCCAAAAGTAATGGGAAATATAGTCCAACATATTGTTACATGCCAAGAATTAAATACTTGGAATTTGCATGTGCTTTAGGGATATTAAAGACCCACTCATTAGAATGGCTGAGGGAATTCTGGGAATTGAAGTCCATACATCTTAAGTTTAAAAAACACTGGTTAGTCCAAACCTCTGACCTTCAGTTGTGTGCACTACAAATCCAAAAGTAATGGGAAATATAGTCCAACATATTGTTACATGCCAAGAATTAAATACTTGGAATTTGCATGTGCTTTAGGGATATTAAAGACCCACTCATTAGAATGGCTGAGGGAATTCTGGGAATTGAAGTCCATACATCTTAAGTTTAAAAAACACTGGTTAGTCCAAACCTCTGACCTTCAGTTGTGTGCACTACAAATCCAAAAGTAATGGGAAATATAGTCCAACATACTTAGAGGACACCCGGATGGAGAAAGCTACTCCAAAGAAATAGAGAGATTGGTCTGGCTCAGGATACTGCTGACATGTTAGAATTCTTTTCCATTGGGGTTCAGTTAAGTCAGAAAACTGAAGATGATACACACATCAAAAAAAGGAGGAGGGGAAAAAAGCAAGATAGCTCCACACATTGATTTTTACCACAGAAGATTGCCAGAAACGATTTTATTTACACAAGGACAAACATTGCAACATCTTACAAAATACTCAACTGAAAATTGTATTCAGAGCAAGAGAGACAGAAAGCAAGGGAAAAAAAAAATCTACAGATATAGTCCACATGTGGGGCATCTTGCCATCGGAGGGGGGCTGGTTAGAAGGGAGGAAATAGACGAAAGAAGTCCTAATTCCTCTCAACAATAACCATCCCTACGACAGTTTAATACTTCGTGGAATTGGAGCTGTAGCACAAAGTTGTTCAATGCTGGTGTCCTAAGGACTAATGGCTTTTCAAAAATAGTTGCTGTTCTTGGCCAGAACTTGGTTTCTTTCTCCCTCCTCCCCATCCACCCCCCCCCTCAAAAAACTTCAAGATGAAAAATATGAAAACAATGGTTAATGGAGATTTTTTCTGTCCCCCACCTCACCTAAACAAAGAGGTGGTAGGAACAAATGTAGATGTAACAAAGCTTAATAGTGGAACTACCATTTCCCAATTGTAAGTTTTATGAATACATGGATATATTTACCTGTAGTCTTTTTTATTTTAGGTAGAGTGATTTGTATCATTGCAGTGGAAGAGCTTTTGTGTCATTTATCATGATTATGAATCTGTTAAGTGGAAAAATGGTAGTGGAGAGTAATATATTTTTATACTTAAGCCACTGGATAATTAGCTTGGCCCACTGAATGTAAGCTGCATTTTTATAGAAATTGATTTAATGGACATTGAAAAGCCTGCAGTGTATTCTAGGGTGAGAGACTATTTCCAACAACCCTGGTAATGCACACACAAATTCATGGGTTACCCTATGGCACACACAAATGGGAGCCTGACGGTTTCTATGCTCTTGTGTAGGAGTGGGCAAACAGCCAGAAGCCAGCAATCAGCCTACTGCAAGTCTCTAGGACTGCCTAATGCCCATAAATCAAATGCAGCAACACTTGTTAAGATGCATACATGAATGTACAAATAAACGAAATATCTGCATCTCCTGTGTGGACAAAGAGGAAAAGTATCAGCATTTTAAAGGAGTAATAAAGTTCATTCTATACAGAAAGGAAATCTTCTGGAGAGTTGATGCTTCAAGTCCCATCAGTTCTGATCTTTTTCAGGCTTAGAACTCACAGGATGTCTGCCTCAAATTATCCTGGGCAGCTAGAACTATAAGCCCAAAATTTTTCATGTCAGAAATCTTTACTTACAGAATCATAGAAATGCCTTCGATAAGCATTATCTGTGTCAAGCCAATGAGCTACCTTGAAAATTCAAAATACTCTTTGGGACGGTGCCCAATTGGGTTATCTATTGTTTTCACTACAACTTAGGTTACAATCCTGTCTACATTTACTGGTGAATAAGCCCTATCTAATTCAACAATGTTTCCTTCTGTGTAAACATGCATAGGATTGTGCTGATTTACTTTATTCAATTTAGTATAATGAAATCCATAGACAAAATATTTGCCCCTTTTTTAAGGCAGCAAAAAAGACAAAGGGTCTCAGCCTTGCCCAAGAAAAAAAAGGTCATTTTGGAATTTGAAGAAACTTCTCCACAGAATATAAGTGCAATCTCTCTAAGTCAAGGAATCAGATGTGAAATTATGGGATGGAATGACTGGCACTGAAGATGAATAGCTTTGGACAATTGGACAAGAGCCACAGCAGATCATCTGACCTATTAATCATTCCCCCCTTATCAGAAAGGCCTTCCCCAGTCCTGGTGCCTTCCAAACATGCTGGATTTCAGTTCTGATAATAGTCAAGCCATGTTGGCTGAAGGATTAGGTGAACTAAAAGTTCAATACATCTGAAAGTCCCAGATTAAAAATACGGTTTTTCATTACTGAGTTACACCTAATGAGTGCTCCATATTTGGCGAAGCATAATTTAAAGACAAGTATAGATGCAAAATGACAGCTATTTTTTGAGCATTTGAAAAGTTGCTTATCTCTGCTATAACCATGAATCACATCTTACAAACCACAATGTCATCTTCATACACTGCATTCAACCAAACCCAAATACACCGGAGTACAACTTACTACGATGTGTGAACTGAGTTGCAGTGTGAATGGCAAAGGCACTTGCTTTAGTTGTGTTAATGTAAGCAGAAGGCTGCATTATGCATGCTACTGAGTTACAGAGATGATATGGAGGGATGGAAGAGTTGTGGTGCGTCCTACTCAAGTCTCCTGGTTTCTATCATTAGTAACCACATTTATTTTGCTGCTTTTCTATTTGGTGTAAAATTTGGTGTAATCTGAGAATGATGACATGTAGCCCATTCCGAGCCTGATGTCCCCTCTGGTCTACAGAAGATAAAAACTGAAGTCCAACACATTTGAAGAATATCCAAAAGGCTTCTGTAATTAACACTATAGGTGGTACTGGTGTTTTACATCACCCAGATACCTTTCCCAGCAAATATATAATTTACTGCTTCTCATTTCCCATGAAACTTGGTTTTCCTTACTATTCCTCACTTCCAAATATACACTTGTATATATTGGCTTAAAAAAAAAGTAATGAAATTCAGAAATGGTAAGAGCTAAATGATAAGGATCACTGATGCCTTCTGTATTGAATGGTCCAGTTTGATCATGATAATTTTAAATATCCAAAACATAGTATGAGGGAATAGTACATTACAGTACCTAGCAGTGCTCAGTCTGCCACAAGTAGATCTTGGTGGGACAAAGTGTGCATTACCAAGTTGATGTGGGAAGTCTCCAACCCTCCTTATATCTCTCTCCAAGCAGAAAGCTTTTGACTAATGTGATGAAAAGAAGCTATCTTCAGGCATGCACTGTTAATGGTTGGCAATTGATGCTCTTGAAACAGTGGTCTTCATTGCCACAGGAGGAAAAACAGGAAAGAAAACAGAACATAGCACTGTCAAGACACGACATTCTACTCATCATGACTATAAGAATAATTATAGGAAAATCTGGAAAGAAGTATCACTCACACATGCACATAATGGAACGTTTGGGAGGACTAAACCTGAACAAATGCAGGAATCCTTAAAATAGACCCTGGCAAGGTTTCCATACGTGCAGCTAAAAATGTCACAGCCTTACATTCTACACAATTACCCCCTCCCGAGTGCCTCCCCCTCCCAGACACAGCTTAGAAATCCCACAGCCCTGGTTAGTGAAAACAGTATCAAGCCCCATCTTTTCCTTTATTTCATTATCCCTGCTATCAGCTTTCCAAAGGAAAGGAGAGTTGGTACGCGTTAAAAAAATACTATTAAATAATACATCTGTAATAAAATTATATACCTTTTTTTCTTTATATCCATTTCTTTTAAAAGCTAAAATTGCTCTGTTTCTATTTCCCCCCCCCCCTTTTTGGCTGGTGAAGTAACAGCAAATAATTCTCTCCTTTTTCTTTTTCTTTGTTTTTTTCTTTATGAATGGACAAACTTTCATCAAAACAGAGTTTGTACAAGTGATACAAGAAATCAAATTATTTACAATAAATGACAAGGAGTCTTTCAAACAATGACAGAGTGGAGGAGGAAGAAAAATAGCGAAAAAAGAGAATGTCAAAGCATTGGTCATGAAACAGTCCACCATATGCAAAACTTTTGTTACAAAAAGGATTTTATGACACACAGAGTGATCCAACTAAGGAGGTCCATCCTTGTAAATAGGCTTGCACGCATATATCGCATATATCGCTTGACAGATTGAGAACTGCAGGCATAAACAGGACACATAATTCAGATGTGCAAATCAAAGCACAGCTGAGTGATGATGCAGTCACACAGAACTGCGCTGTGTTGGAAGTGAATTAATGCTCATCCACAATGATCCACAGGCTGGTGAGATATTCATGGTTTCTTTGAACACGCCTGGTGCAGGATCAGGGCCAAAACATGCATTGAGGCTGGGGATATATATGTGATTCTTTTCTGTCTTTATGTAGGATAATTGTTAATTAGATGGCAAATCAAAAAGGGATAGGACTGAGGAGGGATGGTGAAAAAATGAACTTACAGAGAAATTAAGGCATTAACAAAAATGACTTAAAGGCACACTTTTTCCCCTTTCTCCCCACCGTGGGAGCTTTTTCTAGAGCTTAAACCAGAACTATACAAATTGAGAAACAGCTTAGAGCTGAGATGACTAGGCAACAAAGGTAGCATTAAATCCAAATATCCATGAATCTATTTTGGGGGTAGGAAAGAGAATGAAAACATTAAAAATTGCAAAATCAGGGGAAAAGGCATTTTGAAAATTCAGGGCTTGGGGGGGGGGGGGAGGATGGGAGGATTTTCAACCCCAACTCATTTGCAAATAACCCAGAAGAAAGGAATGCTGTTTCAGGATCAGATTTAGGAAGAGGTGAAGTGGGCAAGTCTCGTTCAATGCAAACCGGTAATATGGATGGCCTGCCTAGGACAGTAGAACCTCTGGGGCTCTGTGCTGCATAGGAAAATTCTCCTGTTCTAGACTCTAAAATGCAAGAGGCAGCTGTGGGTCCCTTTGTTCAGACTGCAATCCATTTCTCTTTCATTCCAAACAAATGAAGGAGGGAAAATTATATATATGAATATGGAAGAGGAAAGAGGAGATGAAACTGAATTACAAGAGTTGAAGATGACCAATAAAGATCATTAAATCCAACAATTCCTTGCTCAAAATGGGCATCCAGATTCAAGATTTTGATTAATTCTGAATTAGGATCCACCTGAACATTGGAAAAAATGATTTTGAGGAAAAGTTTATACTTCTTTGACACCTCTTACTAACTGTAGGTATAAGAGACAAAGAGACAGAAAACAGGTTTAGTGTCCAATGAAGGGAGGAGTGGGGAGGGAATGATATCTGAAAAAGGAATAATGGAGATGTCCACGTGAAAGCCCCCTCACCAAGTTCCTTCACAAATCTCCAAAGAGTCAGGACAAAATGGTGATGCTGGTGAGAACAAATGCTTGGAGACTGACGCGATCACGCATACACACAGAGGCTCATTTTGTCCAGTGCAACTCTTTTTTTTTCCTTTTTTTCTTTTTAATAGATAAAAAATAATAATTTTGTTGTTGTTTTAACGAACTCACAAATGACCAATTAAACCCACAGAGTGACAGCTACAGAAATTGAAGTCTTGGCACTTCACAACACTGGTTCAGCCTCCATTGGCTCTTCTACTGATCTGCAGGAAGAAGAAAGGAAAGAAGGCAAAATATAATGATTAATAGTCTCTCACTGTTATGGAAGTTAAGACAGCTGTTGGTTGTGCTGTTGATTGCTATTGCTATTGCTATATTGCTATTGCTATTGATGAAATAATTTTCAAAGGCTCTTCTGATAGTAGTAGGAGCTACTACTATTTTGAATCATTAGTTCAATTCAAAGATTTTGTTCTGGGTGGAAATGAGGTCTAATGACAGTTACACCCAACCTAGAACTTTCCAAATGGGCTTTGACCATTGGTGTACTCGCTGTAATTTCTGACAAATTAAAGGACTGACACATCAACATAAAGACTAAGACAATGTTTCTCAATCTGAGCAACATTGGTTGATGCAAATCAAGAAAAGACAGGCAGTGCACCTCTTCCTACTGGATCTGGGGGTGTCTAAGTGATTCCTGCCCACCAGAAACAACGGTACACATGGTGCTGCTGGGGCAACCTGATCAGGCAGATTAGACCTAAAAAAAAAAAACCCTCACAAACAGACCCTTGCCATCTCCCAAAATGAACCTACCTGACATCACAGTCTGCTTTTCCCTGCTCTGTGTCCACTGACAGTGATGCCATTGCACTGACAGTCTCTGCTTCTTCTGCTTCTCCCTTTTGGGCCTCCAGCAACGAACAGCCAACCATTGTTGCAGAACTTTTCAATGAATTCCAATGTTTGCCTGTGATACAATTGCCAAGCATTAGTTTAGAAATTCTAGTACTTGGTTGAATTCCTGCCTTGTCTACCTGTCTACCATTTCCAAACCCATCACGCTATCAATGAAATAAACACCTCTGGGATCTTTATTGGCACACTTCTTTCTATAATCATGCCTATAATCAACAACTTGCTAGGGTCATGATTAAGGAGATTAATTAAATAAATGGCTATTATCCCTAACAAATCTTGAGTAGAACTATAAAGTTAGAACTAGCCAGTTAAGTGTAGCTTAGAGATGAGAAATATCAGGCATGTTCTCTTCTAGCATCTTAAGACTGCTGAGAAAGTAGCAAAACAAATCTGATGAGCCACAAAGCAGGACTAGGACAATAGGATGGTTGCAAACAAGATCATTTGTGCTAAAATTCAGAGAAACATCTAAATTACTGCTTCAAAATATAGTGGACGTCTCTTGTATTTTAAGCAGATGCTGGAAGGCCATTTGTTTGGGCTACTGTAGCTGTTGTTTCTAGGGAATTGAACTGGGAGGTTAATAAGCCATGTTTAAACCCTAAACGTTATGGCTCTGAATTAGACAGTAGCATCCCAGCCCCCAACCCCACATATGTTGAAATGTTTAAGGTTTTTATTTTATATCGCTAACAATTCTTTTGCTACATTAATTTTAGATTAGTTGAGAATATTGCAGATGCCAAGTTGAATATAAAGGGCAACCTGCCACTTACAAGCATGTTGCCAACCCCTGTTCTTCATACCAATATGCTGACTGGGGAAATCTGGGAATTGAAATCCATGTTCCCTAAAGTTACAAAGATGAATACGTGCTGTTTTATATTACACAGCTATAACCCTAACCTGAAAGAAGAATACATCTCCAGTGCAAGCTTTTTTTTTAACAAATCTCCTTTTTCCATAATAAAACAGAACATGAAGCCAAGAGCATGCCCCAAAAACTTACTCTGGATTTCAATGACATTCTCCAATGTAGCTATGGCATTTGAATTGGGTTTTTGTTGCAACAGAGCTTGATCCAACTGTTCCAACTGAAACAAAGGAAACTCGAGTTTAGTTTTTTTGATTTCTAATCTGGATAGAAATCATAAGAAAAAATAAATAGTTTAAATAAATGGGAGCTCAACAAAAAAAGTGCATGTGAAAATAATTGGGGAAATGGTGTCAATTTCCCACAAAGCCTTCATATACCATTCCATCCATTTAATATTGTGAATTTATGAATTTTGTTTCTATTTAGGTGTGATTGACATTTGTTTATTTGTTTAAACATACCGTGTCCGATGCCATGTAGTGCTTTAAAAGTAATGACTAGTACCTTGAAGCGTGTCCGGAGACCAATGGGAAACCACTGCAGCTTGTGGAAGATAGGTGTAATGGGGAGATTGTTCCAGAGGGACGGAGCAGCTACAGAGAAGGCCCTCCCCGGGGAGTCGCCAGCTGACATTGACTAGCAGATGGAATCCGGAGGAGGCCTAGTCTGTGCGATCTAATAGGTCTCTGGGAGGTAATTGGCAGGAGGTGGTCTCTCAGGTAGCCAGGTCCGATGCCATGTAGGGCTTTAAAAGTAATGACTAGTACCTTGAAGCGTGTCCGGAGGCCAATGGGAAGCCACTGCAGCTTGTGGAATATAGGTGTAACGTGGAGATCGTTCCAGAGGGCCGGAGCAGCTACAGAGAAGGCTCTCCCCCGGGGAGTCGCCAGCTGACATTGACTAGCAGATGGAATCCGGAGGAGGCCTAGTCTGTGCGATCTAATAGGTCTCTGGGAGGTAATTGGCAGGAGGTGGTCTCTCAGGTAGCCAGGTCCGATGCCATGAAGGGCTTTAAAAGTAATGACTAGTACCTTGAAGCGTGTCCGGAGACCAATGGGAAGCCACTGCAGCTTGTGGAAGATAGGTGTAACGGGGAGATCGTTCCAGAGGGCCGGAGCAGCTACAGAGAAGGCCCTCCCCGGGGAGTCGCCAGCTGACCCTGACTGGCAGATGGAATCCGGAGGAGGCCTAGTCTGTGCGATCTAATAGGTCTCTGGGAGGTAATTGGCAGGAGGCGGTCTCTCAGGTAGCCAGGTCTGATGCCATGTAGGGCTTTAAAAGTAATGACTAGTACCTTGAAGCGTGTCCGGAGACCAATGGGAAGCCACTGCAGCTTGTGGAAGATAGGTGTAACGGGGAGATCGTTCCAGAGGGCCGGAGCAGCTACAGAGAAGGCCCTCCCCCGGGGAGTCGCCAGCTGACA